ATTTACGCTTAGTGTGTTTGTTAGCTGATTTTGTTTCATCTGACAGCTAATTTCTTGCAATAATTACATACACATATATATACTTACTAGCTTATACAAAGTTTGTGAACTATCAAAGTTTTTGTGCTAGAACAGAAAATGGCATACGACACAGCTTCTGATCAAAACTACATGAAAAATAGGTGTGATTTTTTGTGGTATTTCTCAGTTTCGTGATCCAAAGGATTACGCAAACAAACTGCTCTCTCAGTTTGTGTTAGCAACATACCTTAACATATCTAGTGGACCATCTCTTTCAGAAATTCAAATCAGACCTTTCTCTTGAAGGATGTTAAACAGAGCCCCAAAACGCAGCTTACTCCTTCTATAGATTACATCTTAACTGTTAAAAAATATATCTTCTGCGTCTCTCTATAACTGTTCATGCAGTTGTCATTGCATTAGCAGAGATTGAAAAAATATTTAGCATTTTATTTCTATTTAAACCTTTGATGTGAAAATCAGTTTTAAAATGACCTTATTTTATATTAAGAAGGTAATTGGAAAAACCTGAAAATAAATGATTGAGGAGAAACAAACTTTTATGTCATTCAAATTAGTTTTGAAATCAGGTTTTGTGCCTAACACTTGTGAATTACAGGATTGCATAACATTGAACAACCATCGATAGATTCGATCAAAACTAACACTTTCGAAATAAAATTTCACACTAACTAACATTTGGGTAAAAGCAATTCATTGTATTCTAGGAATATTACAGTTGTATATTCTATTCTCCTGGTGGTTCATTGGTAAGCTTGTGGACGTATAACGACAAACTTCGGGGCTCGAACCCTAGGTGAGCACATCAGAGAGTTGTTTTTGTAGCTTTGAACTTAACATCAAATAAAGAAGTGTGTTATAGTTTACCATGAAGGTCAAAGCTACCTTATTTAACTTGATGAGAAGATTATTTGAAGTGATTACAACCATGTAGGCCAAAGCTGCCTTATTTAACTTGATGAGAAGATTATTTGAAGTGATTACAACCATGTAGGCCAAAGCTGCCTTATTTAACTTGATGAGAAGATTTTTGAAGTGATTACAACCATTAGGCCAAAGCTGCCTTAGTTAACTTGATGAGAAGATTATTTGAAGCGATTACAACATGTTATTAAAATTATCTTGTAGTTTAGTTAAGCACAAAGCTACACAATGGGCTATCTGTGCTCTGCCCACCACGAAACCCGGTTTCCAGTGTTGTAAATCCGCAGACATACGGCTGTGCCACTGGAAGGCTCAAAATTATCTACTAGAGCAGTAAAGTTTGAACTTTAGTTTTGATATGAACCGTGATATAATAGTTGAAAGATAATAAACATTTATCTTAATTTCAAGAACAGTATTTCTCTAGCTTAACAAACAGATGGGTAATTAGATCATAAAGGCCACTAATAAATTAGTCTCTAACAAAATTTAGGTAGGCTGTTCCCTATATATATATATATATATATCTATATTTAGATTAAGGCTCAAATTACTTGCTCAACTTTATTTTAAGGAATAAAATAAAGTATTTTGTTGACATTTTTTGAGATATAAAATCATGAATGCATTTTAAATTTAAAGGCTATATTTAGCTCACCAGTGAAAAGCTTCTAAAACCGTAAGCCCTCAAGCAACCAATCTTATTGCTTGTACGGCTGGTACTGTTTGTTTAGTAGTTAAATAACTGGGTGGAAATTTGATGCCAATTTTGTTAATAAAAATAGCACAGTATGAAAAAAAAATTAAACTTTTCCCAAACCTCAGATAGTGTGTGTGTGTATTAATTCCTGTAAATATGAAACGCCTTAGATTAACCTTAGATTAGCGGTAGTCAAACGTGGATTTAGTTTTTAAACATTATTCCACTGGACCAGTTACAAAAGTATCGTAAACTATATTTCGTTACTTTGCATTTGTATCTTAAATGGAAAAATTATAGATTTTCTACGACTATAAACTCTAGCTCATTTCCCTTAAAGAGGAGGCAGTGGAACCTTTGTGGGAGACACTATATTGATAGTGTCATTTTTTAACCCGCTAAGGAGGAGACAGTGTAACCTTTGTGGGAGACACTATATTGATAGTGTCATTTTTTAACCCGCTAAGGAGGAGACAGTGGAACCTTTGTGGGAGACACTATATTGATAGTGTCATTTTTTAACCTGCTAAGGAGGAAGCAGTGGAATCTTTGTGGGAGACACTATATTGATAGTGTCATTTTTTAACCCGCTAAGGAGGAGGTAGTGGAACCTTTGTGGGAGACACTATATTGATAGTGTCATTTTTTAACCCGCTAAGGAGGAGGCAGTGGAACCTTTGTGGGAGACACTATATTGATAGTGTCATTTTTTAACCCGCTAAAGAGAATGAACTTTGGTGATCCATGGTGAAATGCAGGGGTGCACAGTCCACTCCAGCACTCTCCTAGCACCGGCCTTGACTATAAACGATTTACAAGACTACTAAGTACTGACCATTGCAGTTTGGTACAGTATAGTTATTAACCACCACTCTTTTTTGTTTTATACCCGTCCTGTACGTAAAAGACAACTGTCGATCACCTGCTATGGTTATGGTGCGACAATAAAGACTTGAAAGTTTTCCAGAACTTACATTAATACTCGTTTTTTTTTCTGAAACATCAAACGTATGAGACGTGCTGAACGTGACTCAAACCTACCGCTTTTAGTTAATGAACCGCGAGAGTACTCGGATTGTCTTAACAAGTTTCAGCACGGTTTACCCACTATAATGTTATTACGAAGAGAAAAAAAAATCATATTATGTGTATGTATGATATTAATATCGGGCATTGCTTCTTAACCAGATAACGTAAAATATATGTATTTAGAAAACATCATCATATTAACATTTTCGTTAGACATTTCTGGTGTTGCTTTACGTTACATCTGGACCCGTAGTGTATACGTTTAGTGCAGTAATCAACAGAGAGGTGGCGCTAACGTCAATTGCAATCCTAAAACAACCATTTTGCTCGAGTCTTATTTTAAGTTTAGTTTTCTTTTTTTCTTAAATATTTCTTATATAAGCTTGAGATATGAATTTCAATTTCACTTTATGTGCCACACAAATGAAATATAGGGTATTTATGTTTGTGTTAAGTGTAAAGTAACTAATATGATCTGCCAAAAAAAGCTCTTAACACTATTTAAAGAAGGGACTGTTAACTGCTACTAATTTCACGGATATTGGGACGAGTATAGGAGTTTAAGCTATATACACACATAGGAAGATAAAGCGAGTGAAAAAGGAAAGAATTACATAAGTATCAGGAAGCAATCAATCATAAAAGGAAAGAAAGTCAATCCATTATCTGTTAACATCCTTGGAAATTCCAAATAAGTATATGAATGCATAAGATGGCCTAAATAGTTTGATTAAATCAGTAAAGCAAAGAATTTGTAATGGAGAATTTCGGTACAACTGAAGGACGTCGAGTTATTGAGTTTTAACTTATTACTTAGCAAGCTGATATAACAAAAATCAATCAGAGTGAGGTTCGGATTTTTTCTATTAAATCTTTACATGTCAAAAACATTAAGAAATTAAAACTGTAAATGAACGAAATTAAATCCAGACTAATTTCTAAAACAACTATAATATTGTAATTTAAGGGACGTGAAAGGGAAGGCCACGAAATTTTGATGTCTTAACATTTTTCATAAGGAGGAATTCTCCAACATGTGTACAAAACTGGGTCTAAGACTTTTCCGTAGGCTAACTGACAGACGTATAATTTGTGGAAGTGTAGAGCATCATCACTTTGAACTTAAGTAACGATCATAACAGGGTTAATATAATTTATCAGACAATGATTAACACGTCCTTTCATAATTATTTTAACTTGCATTGGTTAGTTCTAAATGTTTATAGGTTTGAAATAAATATTATTTTTTAAAACTTAGGGCAACTTTATTTTGCTTCACTCTGTACAGTTTATGTTTGATATGATCCAAGAACAGAAATAACACAATTCTCAATCTGATTTTTTTACGAATTTAAACAACAAGAAATATCGAACAATGTAGTTAATTCGAGATTCATGATGCTCAGTAAATTCATATTCAGAAGTTAAAACTTATGATTTAGTCGGTAAAAAGAAAGATCTTCAGGCCAGAGATGACATTTAGTAAGAAGTTCACTTAAGGGATACAATGCTTTTAGGGCTATAGAGGTGAAGAAATAATCAGATATTTAGTCATTTCAAAACAAAACATTTGAAGTCTTGAAGAATTTCTATCTTCTGCTGTTATCCGATTTAAGTTCAATGGGGAAGACAAACTACAGTAAGAATTTTATAATCCTAAAACAAAGAAAGTTAATGGACAGTACCACAATAATAGTAACTAGAGAGTAAAAAGGGAAAAGTGTTTAAAAACGAGGCTTAGATAACAGAGTTTCGTGTCAGAACATTAAATTGAAAGCAAGTTGTTGTTTGGGGGTCTTTTGTTTTCTTTACAAGTCACCTAAGTAACGAAATCCGTAAGCAACATGTGGTATACAGTTTTACTTATTTTAATACAGTTCAATTTAAAAAATAACGTAACAACATTTTTTTATATATATTTCTTAAAAGGCTACTGCTTAAAATATGTAGTTGTGGCTAATCCTAGAGTTGTATTTATCACCTCTTCGAAATTACGAGTACATTATTTATTTCTTTTTGGCTACTGTACAAGTATTATTTAGATAACACATATTCGTAAACACACTGAAGTGCAGGATATGATTCTTTTTTTTTAAGTTGTGTAAAATTATAATTCATGGAGCTTCATTACACGTATCTAGTAACCGAAGCTTTGAATTACTACTCTTCAAGTCCAAACATTTCTTTCTGGATTGGAGTTTCTCGCAATTAATGGAAGTTTCCATTTTCTCACATCGGTCTTACTGTATATGTATATAAATAAGAAAAGAGTGATTAGAAACAACAAAAAATTGGAGATTTCTACCTTTCTCTGGAAAGATGACAAAAGTTGAGAAGATGATGATGATGATGCTGGAGATGATATCTATATACGAAGCTCTGAGAGCCATCGGAAATTTTCAAGCCATATAACTTGCACTAAACTCTTGTGTTTATATAAGGTATGATGGGATAGAACTTATACTTTAGAATACTTCATTTTTTTCGCGCTAGAACAAATTTCTGAAACGTTCAAGATTCAAATGTACTTTTTGTGTGTGTGTTTTCCTTTCAGAATTAGCCAGATTTTTGCAAAGAAACTTTCAGAGTGAAAGTGATCAAAACACACTTTTTAGAAATATTGTTAACCATAACGGCAATAATAAAAAAAAAAGTAACGTGACACAAGAGAAACATCAAACCGTTATTATTAAGGGGAACGTTACCGAATTTCCGCCATGCTCTTCCTCTCACGAGCCACACACCAAAACTGCCACAACGAAATCACTGGCACTGTGCTAGCACGAGAAACATACCACGTGACCAAAGATACCCGCGTTATCTCTTGGTGTTCTCCTCCACGTATAATAACTAACTAGAGTAACGCAACGTGGAACGCAACATCTCTATAGAATTCTCCATAATTTTCTGTTTCGTCTTAATAAATGTTTCTGTAGCAATCGAAAAGGAACAAAGATCACCCAAAACTTTCCCAAGACAGACATCTGTTACCACCGTTATTACTTGGGAATCATGGCCAGGTTTTATAGCTTGATTTCTTTATATTTATTTACGTTCAGAAAAAAGAAAGTAACGAACAATGCTGATAAGCTGCTGAATTATCAAACAGCTACAGTTATCAGTGCTACTGGTGATTAATCCAATAATGTTGCGGTTTGAACAAGAATTGCTAAATTAACCGTTCTCAAACAACAATACTTCTCGGATTGAGTTGTCAAATCTCGGACGTAACAAGATCCTATCACTTACTCTGCTTCTTTTGAGTCCACAATGATGTTATACCCTTCAGGTATAACTGAAGTATGAACCTTCAAACATATCATAGGCATCAGCTAGCTTTAATGGATTTTTTGACGTGTCATGATTTGGGGAGATTTTTTAGCCGTTTTGCTTGCGATTGAATAACGACAATTGTTGATTCACAATTAAAAAACCTTTCGAACACCAATCTGGTTATTTTATGTTAGATATGTAAACACGGGTTTTACAGAAGGTTAACAAGAAGCACAAGTCGAAATTAGACCAACAAAATCTATAAATAAATAAGAAATAATCTTAGATATACGAACACGGGTTTTATGTAAGGTAAAAAAGAAGTACAAATCTAAATTAGGTTCAAACAATAAATAGATAAGAAATAATCTTAGATATACGAACACGGGTTTTATGTAAGATACAAAAAAAGCACAAATCTAAATTAGACTCAAACAATAAATAGATAAGAAATAATCTTAGATATACGAACACGGGTTTTACGTAAGGTAAAAAAAGAAGCACAAGTCTAAATTAGACCCACAAAAAACAGTAAATTTAGGTTGCTCTTAAAAGTTATACCTCACTTTCGATAAATATAGGAATAACTTTATAATAACTTACTTCGTAAGAGAGAAGTATGGACATATTTGTTTGTGTATTTTAGAGCAAAGCCACACTTGGCTATCTGTTGTGTCCACCACGGAGAATCAAACCCAGGATTTTAGCATTATAAGTCCATAGATTTACTGCTTTCTTTCTATCTTTGTAATTAAGCACACAGCTACGCAATGGGCTCTGCCCACCACGGGTATCGAAACTCGGATTCTAGCGTTGTAAGTCCGCAGACATACCGCTGTGCCAACGGGGAGGGGCGACTTACTGCTGTCTCACCAGTTAATATCGCTTATTCTATTTGAAGGAAGTCCAGCGAATCTCGTAACTAATACCAAAATGCTTCGAAGGCAGAACTTCAATTTAACTCTAAACCATTATGGTGTTCTTAAATACATTCATTCGAGTGCAAATAAAAATAAAATCTGAAATTACATCTTACTTTATATACTCATAATTTTAAATACTTGTAATAACAATTGTAAATTAATAATAAGAATTCTGACTTATCCTATGCAAGTGCAAAATAAGATGTGGTGTAATTTGCGCGTACAGTAATTATTATAATACTGTGAGAGTAACTATATCAAACTAATATTTAAAATACGTTTATAATTATTCACCGTAATACTAAGACGTTTCGTTCATTGAAAAATCACTGGGCAGGAAAATAAGCTGTGCCCAAACTCTCCTTCCTACAGTTACTTTAACCAGTTTTGTATTTTGAGTTTTCCAAATGCTTATTTGTGGTAGAATAAGCTTTCCTCAGAAGTAAGGATGTAGCCTACGTTTTGGTTATGAACCAAGCCTAACTACCATGAAAATACATCATTAGCACTGCCAATCATTTTAACGAACTGGGTGCCAGGTTCCGTATATTAGTTTATTTTACGTTTTAACAAAACGAATATAACTTTATAAGCACATATACGTTCAAAAAAATGATATATATTTTTAATTTAGTAAAAACAACTAAACAACAAGAGGAATTATTTTAATTAGAGCAATATGTTACTTGGTCCCGAGGGGTTCGTGAGTTGTTTTTTATTCCCTTATTTTCTTTCTTTTTTTTGCATGTTCGTTAAAGGAAAATTTATTATAGAGCTGTCCAGTTTTGATCTACGTCAAGTAATTAGTTTTAGGTCTGTTTTTGAACTGTTTTACAGGACTTACTACACGTACATTAGAAAAACTTAGACCATTTCTCACCGAAGGAATGACCCTGGGTCTTTTAAACTAAGAGAAACTGACCAAGTGAATAGAAATATCGTGATTCATTATAGCGTATGTTCATGAATATCTATAAATTCTTACATGTTTCAATTGTGAAAGTCCCCTGTCGAATGCTATGTTTCAATAAAAGCGCTTTATGTCAACCATCAACCACATTGAAATAATAAGAGTAACGAAAAAGAAAGAAAGCTATTGTTGAAACAATATTACTGGAAGGTTAAAGTAAGGTTGATATGGAACAATACTTAATAACTTAAAAAGAATCCTGAAAAGGATCAATTTCGATTTTTTCTTCAGAAGAGTCTTGCCATACAATAAGACATCTTTTATGTCATTTAACAACAACAACAACACTTTGAGCAAATGATTAAAAAGTTTTGAAACAATACTTTATACAAAAACAAAAGGGGGACACCAAACTTAGTTGATCGCTACATTTGGAGCAGCTATCTGCCTGACTTTGTGTATTTTTTCTTCAGAAGAGTCTTGCCATACAATAAGACATCTTTTACGTTATTTAACAACAACACTTTGAGCAAATGATTAAAAAGTTTTGAAACAATACTTTATACAAAAACAAAAGGGGGACACCAAACTTAGTTGATCGCTACATTTGGAGCAGCTATCTGCCTGGCTTTGTGTATTTTCATTTTTGTTACTTTTTCTATTAACAATATTATAGTTTTTAATCCCCCAAAAAAATAATTTATCAGTTTTAATTACCAATCTGTGAAAAATAATCTTTGTAAGAGAAAAAAATTAATATTGATAACAATGGTAATAAACCAATAAAGTTTATGAAATATTTTAAAAATGTATATATATATATATATATATATATATATATAGTATTAGTTATTAGAACTAACTTACGTTATTTATTTTATTATAGTTATGATATAATTAACTAATAAGTAAGGTCGTCGTTCCTACACGTACCG